CTATTAACTCGGGATCACGGAAAGACATTCATCCTTCAAGGTTTCGAATTTAGCTTTCATACGCTGGTGCGTGAAATTTTTAACTGTTTTCCAATGTTTGTATTTTGTATAGACTAAAGCACAAAGCAGTGAGAATCATTAACAGGCAATCGTTCGATCGGCTGAATTGCACAAAACGCATGATCGCACCGGCTAGTCAGGTGCGCGTTGCCATTTATTTGGCCGTGGTCCACTATTCGAAGATATGGCTACTTTGCCAGTTTTGGTAATGATCGGGAGTCAGCTCGGCTTGGATCGATTCGGGTTGGCTCGGCTCGGCTCGACTCGACTTCAGTTCTTAGCCGCCTTTTTCGAGTTGCCCGTTGCAGACCTTCAAACCCCTGTCCGCGATCTCCCCATACGCTCCTCCAGTTTTGTTTTGTAGGCAATTTTAAAAGAACACAGCAAGGGTGGTCAGTGAGATGGAAGAATTCGCTTAAATGGCTGTATGAAATTCTGCGGATGGGGGAGGGAAAATTTGGATTGTATGAAGCTGGCTTACTTTGGGATATGTGTTTGGTATCTATGTTTCATATTTCAGTTATTACAGTGTGAGATAAAGATTTCAAATCCAGCCCATAAGTGCGCGTGTTTCCCATTTATGGGCACGTGAAAGTTTTGTCGGCAAAATTGTTAACTCGGTAATCAGAAAAGCTGGAAGACTGGAATTTTAAGGATAAATTCCTCGCCGACTGTCTTGTTTTTGCTTTTCGGAAATCCGTTAACTTAGTTGAAATGTGGAACGTGAAAGGTGCATGGGCTTAATTCTGATGAGAAAGGCAGCTAATATAATTGTTTCAGATAAGAAATTCTGTGCAACAATGAAGCAGTTTAAGAGGTACATCGACAAGGACGGAGCGGGGTTTGTGCTTTTTTTTTTCAACTCCAAATTCAGCGAGTTCTGAAGAGCTGAACAGAAGGGGCAAGCAAATATAGCATTGAACGCCTCCCATACATAGCACAGTGATGCTGGATGGGGTTTTTTTGACTCTCTGACGATGGCTGTTGTGTTGCTAAAGTGCTCTGCAGTGTACAAAAAAAATGCATCGAAATCAATTCTCTAAACTTTTAAATGCTAAATCGATAAAATTACTAAATCATGCTAAATCGACGATAAATCGCTTCTGAGTTCCTGATCTGTATTAAAATTCGTGTCAAAATCAAAACCAAAGCCGTATTTCGCTGTCTAGTGAGAGGCGAAGGAATTCGGGAAGCGATTTATAGTAGTGGCAGCAAATGCCAGCAACAACCATCCGCTGATAAAGCTATCGATGGCTTCTTCTTCTGAGGGTTGCTTATAAGTAAGCTGATGGCAAAAAAATTCGTGTACTATACTAAACAACCTAAATGATCTTTGTTACGACAGTCGTCGTACTGACGAGGTCCAATCGTGGTAACGGTAAGAAATGTATACGACTTAATGGACCGAAACATTTCCAACCTATTACATATATTTCCATACTCCCATTCCCGTTTCTCCCCTTTGTTTTTCTTCCTTTTTTCTGTTTCATCATTTCTTGCCTTATCCTTTATGGGCATATATCAGTACCAATTTACCATCGAAATTGATTGTAGAGGAATTGGTTGTCCTGCCGGCACAGTTGAACCCTGCGCGGCAACAGTGCTACCCCTCTGCGCCACGCTTGCCGGCCAAATTCTTTTTTGATCGCTAAAATCAGAAAGTAAAATATTATAAATTTTAATGAATTTTTGGTGTGCAGTTGGTCAGATGTAATTTTGCATTGGTTTATGCTGATTTTTGCGTTTTTTTACGTTCTAGGGATGTGACGCTTGTATGCGATGAAGCTGAGGATATGTGGCATGTGTACAAT